TGAATCATACTTTGGAAGGCTTTTAGTACTCCCTTAAGGTTTGTTTTTCTTTTTTCCCCCCTCAAAAGCTATTAAATGCGCTGTCTAGAAAAAGTTCCCATGTGATCCTTCCGTGGTTGTACTTTTCCTAATTAAGCACCAACATCATAAAGCTGTGCATTATTCCAAATTACCTTCCTCTAGCAGAGGAAAAATTTCTGGACTAGAAATGGTATGAAGACTGAGAGAGGATTGGTGGGAAGTTAGAAGAAGAAGAAGATAGTTTTGAGAATAGTGTTGTCCTTTAGAAAAAGAATAATTCCGCGTGTCGGGCGATGTGTGTTATTTATTTTTTTTTGCAGTGCTCCTGGCATTGACATTTTGGATACAGCAAAAGCAAAGGCCATTCATTTGGTTCTCAGCTTTGGCAATTATAGTCTTCAGATCAGAGCTCTGCATATTCTTAGGCCTCATGCTCCTGGTGACTTTATTAACTAAAAGAATCTCCATTTTCAAGGTGCTTTCCCATGCTGTTCCTGCTGGAATTTTTTGGCTGGGTAAGTGTTTGCTTGGAAAAAACAAATGACAATAAATTCAGGAGAAGTCTGGAGTTTTGACTGATTTCTCTGGTAAATGTCCTGTAAGGTTGGTGGTTTTTTCTGTGTGTGGTATTTTGTTTGTTGGGTTTGTTTGTTTGTTTGTTTTTGTTTGTTTTTTTGTTTCATTTTGTTTGGTTTTGGTTTTTGTTGTTTGTTTTTTGAGGGGGGATGTGTTAGTTTGGTGGTTTGTTTGGGGAATTTTGGTTGGTTGGTTGGTTTTGTTTGGTTGGTTTTTTTTGTTTGGTTTGGTGATGGGTTTTTTTTATTAGTTTGATTCCATTTGCTACTAATATGACAAGACTTTTTTTTTGGAAGTTTTTATGTGAGGAAGTAGGTATGCATGGAGCAGAGAAAGGACCTCTGCCATTAGATGCTTACAGTATAATATCCTGATCTTAGAGGCTTAGATGTGCAAGTTGACTTCAGTATGATTAGTATCTGGCTGTAGCTACTTGTGCATGTTATCAGTTGTAGTATCTATTGCCATGGTGATAAGCTGAATCCCAGGATAAAATGCAACCATGTGACAGAGACACCAAGCAAGAGGGTTGTGGGGAGAGCTACAGTTCAACTGTGTTCCTTTATTACATTAATTTTAACAGCTTAAGTGATCTCCATGCTAGAGAGGTTGAAAAATCCCATTGTCTCTACCCATCCATGGAAGATCCATGCATATGCACATACTCTGAGCTTTTCTGCCAACCTCTCTAATTAAAAATGCTGTTGTCAGATATGTGATGATCTCTGGCAGTGTGCTGTCCTTTACACAGTGTTGACAATACAAACACTAAATGACTATGCCATGTACATTTGGAGGCACCTCATGACGTAAGAGTTTGGAAATCCAATGAGAATTAGTCACTGACGCTCCCATTTCCTATCTGAGCAAAATCCTTAAACACCAGAGTGGAGATGTGGAGTAGAAGAGATGGAGCTGATGGTTTTGCTGCTCTCCCTTTTTACCTTTCATCCCTTATCCTCCTCCTGCTTCCCACCAAATAAACAGTAGCAAACTTCTAGAGATTGCTTTTATAACCTAACATTTTTACAATAAAAAATTATTTAGTACTGTTGGAAGTTAACTTGAGCTTCTTACCATTCATGGCATTTAATGCTCTAAACATTTGTTTTAAAACAAACTTCAGTTAAACCATTGCTTTTCACACATGGGGTTGGAGTAGGGTGAATCCCAATTGGATTAATATCTAACATGTTTCTTTTAAGACTTCTATTAAGAAGTGCCTCCTTTCCCTGCATTTCCTCTGACAGACATATTCAAACTCCTCTGTGGTTTTGGGTGAGGCTTACAATCCATCTTTCAGTTTATATTGATCTCATCAGTAAATGTGCTGTTTGGATATGTTAGTTTGGTTTTTTCCTAGTTTTTAATTCATGCAGATTTGTGTTTCTTTAATTCTTTTAGGGCTAACAGTTGCTGTGGATTCTCTATTTTGGAGGCAGCTTGTATGGCCTGAGGGGAAAGTGCTCTGGTATAACACAGTTTTAAACAAAAGTTCCAACTGGGGAGTATCCTTTGAAACATTCGTGGAAAAATAATACTACCAGCCAAAGCAAAGACTTGATGTAACTTACTCCTGAGACTCAGGGTGCTAAATTCTACTGTTCCTCTAGTGTTTCATTATTTAAAATCTGTGACAAAATGTCTGTCTCTTAGATCTTTCTGGAAATTTTAACTTACCTCTTCTGACTGTTCCTCCTTGCCTCTTTGTGTTCTACCTATGTAAACCCAGGTTTCTTCCCCTTGGTTTTTCATGTTGCCTGTCACTAGTGCCATTTGATGTGCCTCTGTTGGGTGATGTGAATTATGTTAAGCGACTGCTTTTAGTTCTCTAAAGATAAGGCAGGAAACCAAAGGCCTGGAAAATTGTGTGTATAAAAAGTATACTGCTTATTTGCAAAATTTGCATGTGCTACTGTAAAGAATAGTTACTTTACTTGTTAACAGTGAAAACATCCTTAACTCTCCTTTTCACCTTGAAGACCTCTCCCTTCTTGTGGTATTTCTATTCAGCCCTGCCTCGTGCTTTGGGATGCAGCATTGTATTTGTACCTTTAGGTGTAACAGAAAAGAGAACTCGGATTTTACTTTTGCCAGCACTGGGCTTTATTTTCTTGTATTCGTTTCTCCCACACAAAGAGCTGCGTTTTATCATATATACCTTTCCTGTCTTTAACATAGTGGCTGCTAAAATGTGCTCACGAATGTAAGTTCAAAATTCTGTTTGTTTGGTTTGGGTTTTTTTTTTCCTCTGAAAATGCAAAAGAAAAGAATAATTATTATTACTGTTTTTAATGCACTTTTTCCCATCTTGGACTGTGGATCACCTTGAGAAATTCATATGCTCTAGAAAGGAGGTTGAGATCTGTGTCAGATCTGGAGCGAACCACAGAGAGAAGTGGAAACATAGAAAAGTTAAATGTTTTGACAGGACCATTTGGCAAGTCTGGAACAGAGTTGAGAATAGAGCCCTGATTTTACTTTTATGTTGTTACAATTCAGTTTTCTTTATCCACCAGAAAAAAAAGACACATTCCAGTGTACTCCTGTGCTGTTAACTTACCTCAGGAGATAGTTTAATACACAGGTGAGGCTCATAAAACAAGGAGTTAAATAGTTTTAGTTGGGTGTATTGAGTAAACAAATTGAAGTTAAACTCTGAACTTCTTTGACAGGCAATACATTCGTAGCTAAAGGTTTTAAATGCAGAAATACTTAGTTTTATTGATGAGCTTGTTTTAATTTTATTAATGAGAATATTCTAATTTAAATGTCACTAGAAGTTAAATCTTTTAGAAATTGATAATCAATGCATGCCATACACGATTAATAAAATTTGCATTAATCTTTATTATCTAGCAAAGGAGTTTCCTTAACCATAGCTCTGTTATGGTAGTCAATGACCAGTATGAAAGAAAACAAGTTTATTCTTGTTTTTTCCTTCCTCAACAGTGTGAATAACTACCGGAGATCCTGGCTCTACAAACTTGGATCTTTCTTTGTTATAATGCATCTTCTAGTTAATGCTGCTTATTCAGGAACATCTTTATATGTTTCACATTTCAATTATCCTGGAGGAGTGGCAATTCAGAAGTTGCATGAGTTGGTACCTTCAACAGCAGGTATGTAAAGATGTCTTGAGGGATATTCACCTAATTTTAATTTTAGGGTTTTTTGCTAGTATATCTTTTCATGTCTTGTATACTACTTCTTCACACTAGCTACATGCATCTTTCTTGTTACTAATTTTTTAATTTATTATTAATCAGAGTGTTCTTAAAAGAATTTTGAAACTGTATTCTGTTTTCTTTATTTATGTAGATGTCTCTGTTCATATTGATGTGGCTGCAGCACAAACGGGAGTTTCTCGATTTCTAGAAATCAATTCTGATTGGAGGTATGTTATGAAGTATTTTAAGCTGAAGGAAGGAGTCTGCTTTTTCCTTTTTTATATGTGTGCAGAGACAAGCCTTACAAACACAGTTTCTGATACAGTGTATTTATTAAGCCAGGTCATGAACAATGTGAATCTTTAGAGAATTATGGTGTCTGCAGTGCTACCATTTCAGAAATGGAGAATGGCAGTGGTTTGGGGTTTTTTTTTTGTTTGGTTCTGATTTGCCTAAATAGCTTAGAATCTTTCAAATGACAAGAGGAAATGGCCTCAAGTTGTCCAGGGGAGGTTTAAATGACATACTAGGAAAAATTTCTTCATGGAAAGCGTTACCAAGCATTGGAACAGGCTGTCTAGGAAAGTGGTGGAATCACCATTCCTGCAAGTGAATATGACACCTGGTTTAATGGTGAACATTGTGGTGGTGCTAAGTTGATGGTTGAACTGGATGATCACAGAGGTCTTTTCCAACCTTAACAACTCTATGATTCCACAGACATCAGAAACAGTACAAAAAGTTATTGGCTTATAAAACACCAATATATTTAATGCAGAACAGTTTTATATAATTGTGGGGTATCTTCTTATTTTGTTTGTCTTTGAATGATGTGAGGCTAATGTACATATTAATGTTGAAAGTCTATGTGGAACATCCTTCACATAGATGGCATTGAAGCTGCTGTTGTGGACACATTCATTAGCTCTCAGAGAAGGCTGTTGAGTGCTTTGTTACTATGACCAGCAGTGATAGACAGTTTTAAAAATCAGAATATTGGAATGGATAGTATGAGACATTGTGGGATGGCATCATTTGCTATTCAGGATACAAACCAAAAAAAGTAGGCATCTTTCTGATTCTTAGGCCTACCTCTTCTGCTGAAGTCTTCAGGTTTCTAATTTAATATGTCATCTTAATGAAAATGACTCACTAGAAAGTGACACAGAGCCTCCCTTCACACTGCACAAAGCAAAAGCAATACAAGGAAATTTTGTCTTAAGAAGTACTCTGAACATGGAGTTCTTTTTACCCAGTTACAGTATTCAGGGTCAGATGAACATAATTTAATTATTGGTATGTTTAGAGATAAAAGAACTTTGCAAATAATGCAGAAGAAGGGAGAAGTATGCTGGGAGAATTACAAAAATCATCAATCTTGCTGTGCTTTATTTTATTTTCAGGCTCTCTCATGATGGTACAGACAGTTTAAAGCCTCCACAGTTACCCATCTCCTGTTTATTTCAACTTGGTTTTTTGTATGTTCGATATAGAGAGACTTAAGCCACAAATCAGGAGACATTAAACTGAGTACAAGGGATAGAACGTGCATGATAGCTAAAATGTTCCCATCTTTGTTTTTTGACTATACTTAAATATATGCACTACTCTGAATACAACACTACTATACAAATAGAACTTCATTTGAATGAGCTTTTTGAGGTGGTGAGTTTTGGTTTGTTTTGGGCTTGTAAGGCATACTGTAGTGAGATTGGAAGGTGAATGAATAATATCCGTCACTGATAGATGTTTCATAGTGTTGCAGCTACAGAGCAGTTTGTCTCTCACTTTTATGTCTACTCAGCAAAACAAAACCTTAAGGAAGGGCTGATTCATCATGAAGTTTCACATTAAAAAAATTAGGCACAATCCACAACTGAGCATCACACATGGGACTATCACATTGTCTAACAGCACAGTACTGCAAAGTTTAGTGGTACCAACTGTCCATTTTATCCAAGGAAGTGACAGCCTTCAGATGGGTGAAAACTAATTTACCATCTTCATAGACAGTGTATATCAGGCAAAAACAGATTTGTGGATGGGGTGGCTGGGAAGGCTGATGAGTCATCAGGATAACTGCAATCCATAAATAAAAGTGTCTTAAAGGTAACAGCTTTCACTGGCATGCTCAGATTAGATCTGTTTGCCTCAAGAAAAATGCAAGTGATTGACGATTTTTCTTCAAAGGTTGATTGAAAGAAGCTTGCTACAGCTTCTTACACAGGACAGGTGTTACAATCTTCTCTTCAATTAGTGTAGTCTCTTTGAACCAGGAATAAATACGCTGTGTAAGCTTAAAGTATTTAAAAATAATAAAATTCAGAAATGCTTGCAGCCAGATGAAAGGCCCTTATTTGCTGATGAAGAAAATGCAAAATTAGTAGGTGGTAAAGTTGCTGCAAAGTATGCCATTCCTTCTGCCCATTTGGACATGTGTATCATCCTAAAGGAGTATTGTGATAGTTTTGGAAATAGCAGGTGAAATCAGCATGAGATTGTTTTAGAAGAAGAAAGCACCTATTCCTTGTGCAAAGTCTAATTCTGCATTACGTGGTGTATTTATTGACACTTGGATTCTGTCAGCCTGAGGTCTTTTCTGAATTGCCAAAATTTCAGTTAACAATCCACACAAACCCTCTAGTTTGCTATGAAGTTCTTTCTTTGAATGTCTTAAATGTTAGTGACTGCTATGTCAGGGGGCATTATAAAAATATCAATTGAGTTTGTTTTTTTTTTTTTTTGGAGAATTCAGACAGATGAGAGGCCCAGACCTGCAAAGACTCATGTTGGCAAAGATGCAGGCTGGATTTAATCCTAGGTGCATTTAAGGGTATGTAGGGTTGGGATTGCACTGCTTCCCTGCCAGTGTCCATGTCTGCAAGGAAAGCCACCGTCTTGAGTAAGATGCTTGTGAAACGTGTGGGAGAAGTCAGGTACCAAAGAAGAGGAATGACAAATGCTGATAGAAAACAGTTAATAGAACAGAGCAACAGAAAGGCTGAAGAATGGGGCACTGCTCTTCACTTGGGTTACAGAGCTTAACAGTGGTGTGTGGAGTGTTTTGGGGTTTACTCATTTTTCTCCTTTGAAATTGTTGAAGACTTGATCAGGCTGCCATATCCAGTATGAGTATCCTGACCCTTGGGCTATAAATTGTACCTGAACCCTCCTTCAGTGAATGAATAACTAACTATTGTGAATTTGAAGTGTCCTCATGAGACAGTGAGGGAGATGTATCTCAGGTTCTAGAAGATTAGAGAGGTTGATACAGCTTTGACAGATAATAATCTTCAGTTTTGGGCTTAGATCAGATGGAGAGTGACTGAAGCTAGATCTTTCATTCACATCCCTGCCAAATGGCTAAGTCACTTTTCTCATCCTGTAAACTCTCTAAATAGCTAGATTGAAGATAAGTCCTTTTATGAAATAAGTGTAAGTGTACCTGTTAAATAGTTTTGGAGCTCGCTAGTTACTTTATTTTTTAAATATATATAATTTATATATATTTTGGTACTTAAACAAGTTTATAAAAGCTGACTCAAAGTGACCTGCCCAAATAGGTAGTAGATCAGAAAGCTGAACTCAGAAATAACAAGTGTCAAGGTAATACTTTAATTGTCAGGCTGTTCTTTCTTTCCTACAGAGTTCAAGGAGGTCTTCTTGCTGGTATTCTAATGTATGACTACCAGAAGGGAAAGGATTCTGCTAAAGTACCTCATAATGTATTTTTTTTAAATTATTAAAAAACCCTGCAAACAAAAAAATCCAAACTTATCCAAACTGCAATTCTGGTAAAGTCAACCTTAAAAATTAATCCAGTTTCCTGCAGTCTTAGGGTTTAATGTCCTTTCTCCACAGAACTCGAATAGGGGACTAGTAAAAAACTTTTCAGGTATCCTGATTTATATCACTATAGCAGCAGAAAGATTTGCATGGAATGATTGAGTCCCTAATCTCTTCAAAAATACTATTTCCTCCTTTAGTACTAATTATTTAATCAAGAAATATAACTAAGAATGTTACAGTTCCTTTTGTGTTTTGAATGCTACATGCCCCTGTGATAATGGAGTTGTTTAATAGGTAAGGCGAGAAACAAAAATAAAACCTTCTTTATTCTTTACAGGTATGACAAAAGGGAAGATGTTAAACCAGGAGACCAGTTGATGTTTTCTTACACACATATACTGATGGAAACAAACCCTCTTCAAATATCACATTACAAGACAACCCACAGGCCACTGGCAAATATACCTGGCATCAGTAAAATTGGGTTGAACCTTACTGCACTACCTCCTTTTACTTTAAACTTGAAACCAAAATTGGTACTGTTGGAAAAACTTCCTCTATCATCTTGACTGTGAATTTTAAGTGGGTCTTTTGATGTGATTTTGCTGATGACTGAACTGTATACGACAGCAGCAAGTTGTCATTCCAGCACTGCAACTCAGCTTCTGTGGAAAGGCACCGAAAATCTTTGTACTAATTGGTATTTAGCTCTGTCTTGTTTCTTACATAAATATTACAGTGCATTCTTAGTCAGTATATACTCGGTATACTGAGTTGTATTGTTAAATATGTTTGAGAGAGTTACCTCCAAGTTTAGTGGTATTAAGTAAAAACTTTCTACTTGGTTTGGGTAGCTGTCTGTTTTACAGCACAGGTATGTCCTAATTGTCCTGTTTAAAATACATAATGGAACAGGTTTGTGCTATGGCAATAATTTGATCTGTAATCTATTTCTGTGTGCAAAGATGTATTACTTAATGTATCTGCAGGATTGTAATTCCCTCAGCTGTCAGAGTGCCTGTGTGAAACCTAATGATGTTATCAACATAGAAAAGCCATATTCATTGTTAGCTTCATCATAATACCTAATAATGCCCTATAGGCTACCAAACTAATTAAAGTGAAAGATTCACTTAAAAAGCAGTTGGACCTCTTGACAAATACTGTCTCATAACAGATTTGAGTATTAAGGATGATTATCTTCCAGCAGATCGTGAAAAAGCAGCAACTTTGATTTCGTAGGAAAATGGATTTTTAAAATAAGGTTTCCCCTCTTCTGCTGTAATGATACTATCTTAATTTGCAGTCCAAAAATTTACCTATGAAAATATTCACTTGAGTACACTTTAAGATAGGTGCTGTTTTCCTTTTTTTACTAAGTAAATCCCTTTGGAAAGGAGTACTCAAATGTGCCATGTGCTTCATTCTGTAAACTAGAATAAGATTGCATGCTCTGTAGTCTCTTCTTTGTTAGATATTTTTTTTGAGGATGTCTGCCTAGGTTGCTAAATGGAACAAGGAAAAAAAGAATTCTGGTTAGGCCAGTTGTATTATGACAAGACCTCTATTAGTGTAAAATAACAGAATTGCTGAAATTATCATGGGAAGAAAACTGTTCCCTGCTGAATGAAAACTTGAGTAAAACACAATTACGGAATAAAGTGGTTTGATGGGGTTTTTGATGGTTTTTTGTTTCCTTTGTTAGTTGGTTGGTTTTGGGGTTTTTTTGACTCTTAAAGTGTGCTTGATTCAAGAACTACCTCTACCTGTGTGTATATTTCAGCTTTGGGGACCATGTTTTCTTTTTATCCTCTAGATTATGTATCAAAGGAACTGATCTGGCAGGGTGGAGCCTGCTCTCCCGTGGGTGGCTACTACTGTTGCCCAGGTTTCCTCAGCCTGAGCAAATCTGGCAAAAGCAACCTGCAGAACTTGTTGGTCCAGTCTCTCCCTGCTCTTGAAATTGAAATCACTCAAGTATTATCTATTTGACTTGTCTTTGAAAGAAAACTTAGCTTCCTCCAGAACCAGTTTCAACATCAAACAATTCCCATGAGATAGAGGGAAATTCATGTGCAAATAGCTAGAAATTTAGAACCACACAGAGGAAAACTTTTGACTAAGGATGTAGGTAGGCCTGTATTTTAAGGCTAATAATTGACTTTATGTAATTCCCCCACGCTGTAATCCACAACTCAAGAACCTAAACTAAAATTTATCCTGCCCAGGTGTATACAAATGTCTGCACTGCTGCAGTTAGGTCTATGGTTATTCCAGGTTTCCAAGTCTCTGGTTGTCGGAATCCTCTGCAGGAACTTGTCTTCTGTTAACTACAGAGAAAACCTAGGGCTGCTATGCTTGCAACATAGGCACCTCAAGCTAATGCTCGAAGTGGCACAGAGTGTGTGGAGATGAGACATCTGAAGAGTTTCATCTTGCTGAATGTCAGGCACACACACTGGCTTGGGTCTTTCCACAGACTTTTATTCAGATGTCAAGGTGCTACCTGTTGGACTTATACCAGTGATGGTGTTCAGCTGTGGTGCTAATTTGTACTATTGTTCACCACTGATGGAAGTAGAAGGGATCAGCTCAAATTGGCCTCTTTAGTTTATTTGTTTGGGGTAGAGAAAGGTAAAATACATACAAGAAGATAGGAAAGAGATACTGGATTGGATTGCAATCCAGTTGCAATCAAAAAGTTCTGAACCAAGTCTGAAGTTTATTTGGGTCCTGTTACATCTTGTTCTACATATGTGGTTATTGCAAGTGCTTAGTTTGAAAATCTACAACTTTAGGTTTGTAGACAAAGAGCTAGATTGTGCCCCTTGGAGTGCATACAGCACTGTACTACCCATGGCTGTATGACCTCTGCGACAGCATGTATCAGGAGGTTTAGGATGGATATTAGGAAAAGCTTTTGCACCCAAACACTGGTTGAGCACTGGAACAGTGCTTCACCCCAGGGAAGTGGTCACAGCACCAAGCCTGACAGGGTTCAAGAAGTGTTTGTATTATACTCTCAGGCACATGGTGTGTCTCTTGGGGAGGGTCCTGGGCAGGGCCAGGAGTGGGACTCAATGATCCCTGTAGATCCCTTCCAACTCAGGATATATGATTCTATGGGTAACCACCTCCAACTCAGGCCATGAATATTATAGTAGACCACACTCAGAATAAGAAGGGGAACGGAAAAATGAGGATGAAGATTACTGCAGTTTTTCCCTAAAGCCTGCTTTTAAAAAAAAAAAGCAAGCCTTGGAAACTAAAAGGCATCTCTCTCTTAAATGAATCTTCTCACCTCCAAGCCTTGGATTGCCTTTAGCTTCACAAGAACCATAGAGCTTATTTTTTCCTTTAATATAGACTAATATTCAGTGTACTTCCATCTAAGAAAAAAGTGTGTTTAAGTTTCCTTAGACATAAGAGGGCATTAATGAAGTCCCTCAGTCATTCTGCAAACGTGAAGTGGGTTATTACACGTTCTGCATTTGGAGGGGGGAAACCTCTACTTAGAGAATGAATGGTGCAGGTTGGAGGGAGAATCTGAACAGCTGGTGGAATTCTTGAAGGGACTTTAGAGCAATAAATTTCTCATGACTATTCAAGATCTTAAAATACCTTTTGACTGGACTGATTAGAAACAATCCCACCATAAAGTACAGTTTTTCTTATCAAAAGCAGGAATAAGGTGAGTGTATTTAAATAAATGAAGGTTGAATTAACCTGAATAAAGCAAAGACAGATAGTACAGTTACCCTGAAATGCTGCTGTAGAATGAGATTTATTTTAAGATGTCTTTAGTTAAAACTTCCCAAACGTCAAATGGTGTGTAGCATCATGCACTGCCTTTTGAAGTTTGACTTCTTACAAGCAATGCTTGTTCCTGAAAAAGTCTTAAAAGTTTATTTGGACAAAAACACATCACCATGTCATTTCATGCAGAGATGGAGAATAATTACTGTCTTACAGTCTGAGACACCCTCTGTGTTAAAAGTTAACTAATTCTGAAAAGAGTTTGTGGAACTCACCGATGCAGGACATTTCTGCCATGATGAAAATAAAAGCTGCTTCAAAACAAGATTAAACTGATCACTTTTGCATCAAGAACCAAAGATCAAGGAACAATTTCCAGTTCACAAAGTCTCTAATAAAGTGTTCAGAGCTGGGAAAAAAATAACAGATTGCATTTACCTTATACTTCCCTTAAGTACTTGCTATGGGTCTTCTCAAGAGTGGATTTGGGGTGAAGAGACATGGACAATGATTGTATTGGATCTGACATAAAACACATTTATCTGCTAACACTGAGAAAAACCAGAACATGTCTCAGGTTCTTCCCTTTGCCATCCATCAGAACGCAATCTCAGTGCAATCAATTGGTGCAACACATTCTGAAACACCGATCCCATTCCTTTTTCTTACTCCTGGCCATTTCACGTGTCCCCTTGGGGAGACAGGTTTGACATTCAGGAGAACAAAAGATTGGAGATTATGCTGCTTCTCCTGCATTTACAGTTGTTCTATGACCATTCCTATCTTCCTGAATACTTTTAGTTCTTCCCATAATGGTAAGGAGGTTGAAAACTGATAGCATTGGTTTGCTGTATCTCAATTTCAATGCAAGGTTTCCCTTGCATCTGACAGCACTTTTTCATATACAGAAATTCCAGAAATTATACAGAAGTCTAATGGTGCTTTCCTTTCTTGACTACCTGTGCTCATTCTTAAATATTCCCCTTCTATCATCGCCCCCAAAAGAGCTTTCCTTGTAACTTAGTATTCAAAGGCTCTTTTTTGTACAAGTGACTTCATTTTGCCAGAAAAGAAGAAAACCACAAGCTGAGTTTACCACCAATGTAAGCAAGACTGTTTGGCCACATCTCAGCAACCTGGTTACATAATCAGTCTCAACTATGCTAAGACTAATGCTCCGAGGCTGTGTTACGGACAGTGATACATGAAATGTATCACTACCTGCTTAATGTGCAAGACTTAAGATTAGAAGGGTTTTTGCAAAAATTCCTAAAGTTAAAAGATGAGGAAAACCTCTGAAGGTGTTCTTCATTTTCTGTTTAAATATGTATGATTTCTAAATATAATTGATACATGCAACTACTTATTTTAGATCAGATCTTGAGATAAAAAATGAGCAACAACTACTTTTGGCCGCTCATTTCAGACCTTTGTTTATGATAGAAAGGGTGGCCAGTGTTTCCTCTGAAATTCTACATGTTATTGTCATGGGTAGGTTTTCACCAATTCTGCTTTATTTCAGCTGCAGCTGCCCTTGGTTCTGTACCAAGGCTTCATTTGTGTCGATTTGTGCACAGAATAAGGTAAAAATGCTGTCTCAAATGGAGTCCACATTTTCCTTTAAAACTGTCAACTTCAGAATCTGGAAAAAGGAATTTCTTAATAGATTTAACTTAAAAAAAAAAAAAAAAAGTTGGGAAAGCTTAGGCATCGATCTAGCCCTTAGAACCTAAGTTGGGGACATGGCTGTAGTTACTATTTCTGGCTGGCCTAGTAATTTGATGAATCAAAGCACTTTTGGGTCAGCTTTGCAAGGTTACCAAGAAGGTAAAGAATCACTCTTGTTGCTAAGAATGAAGCAAAAGATGAATATATTTGTGAAAGAATAAAATGCTTACTTTATAAAATCTAAAAAATCTGTAACTAGAGAGTATTATTTGTTAATTGTATACTATATATTTTTCCCATGTTTGGCGATACTTAAAATGAAAATTTAGTATGGTCAGCTCTGAATAGTGGCAGGAAAAAAAGCTACTGTAAGGGAGAGATCTCAACAGTAGTAAACATTGAGCTTGTCATCTTATCTACATTTAATCAATTACATCCTTATGCTGGTATCGAAACTGCTCTATGTTGAGATTCCAGTTCTTTATAAACTCAAGCTATTTTTGGGGAGCAATGAGAAGCTGTGAGTATTCCTTGTAAAAGTTCACTGGCCAAATTCAGCAAACACGTTTCCTTCACTTGGACTTGGTGGGTAGGGAAAGAGGCCAAATATAAAGATGCAAATGTGGAGGAAGCATTATCACAGGTTTCTGGAGCATAATATAGATCTCAATAGATACTTTCCATTATATACCCTGCACAAGACTTGAGGTCCTTGAAAAGGCTGTTACAGATTTCTACTGTTTGCCTTTCCTACCTTTATTACTACAAAGTATTTCTTGCTGTATTGTTACACCTGCCTATTCTTAAAAGAAGTAAAAGCGATGTAAAAGTAGCAGGAGTTCCTATCCATTACAAAAATAAAGTAAACCCAACACAAAACCCACCCTCTCAGTAACTTACCTCACTGCTTCAATGACAGCTTTCAGCCCTTCTCTTGAAGTCATTCTTTTCTCACAGGCAGCAGTGCCTGAAGTGAAGAGGGAGATGCTCCCATAACTCCTTCAGAAGGATCAGGGCTTACAACTGAAACCAACAACCTTGTGTTCTCAGTTTCTCCTATTTTTATTTAATATTTAAATTTTAAGGCATTTTGTGCTTGTGTATTATCTTCCAAAAAATTCTAACATAAACCTATAATTGATTCTTAATTCAAGCTGACACTGAAACAGTGCAGTCTTAAGAACAAAGCCCTTCAGAAAAACAAACGAAATCAAACCAAGGAAAAAAAAAAGAAAAAGAAAATTGCAGGTACAAATAAAGTGGACTGATAAAATTTTACTTTTAAAAATAGTGACTAGTTCTTGTGCTCTCAGGAAAAGTTTTGACAAAAAGCATGACTATACAGTTAATTATCCTATGACTATACAATTAATATAAATAAGATGCAAATTTGGGGCTACAAAATGCAATCACTACAACTTTCCACACAGGGAATTAGAGAGGAGCTACAGCAAAGACTGCCTTCAGAGGAGCCAAGATGCTTGCTTCCAGAGAACTGTAATTTTCAGGTAAGCTTGTTCACTATTAGCACTCCTGGTATGATGTGACTCCACAATGCTTTAAGCCATAGGCTTTATTTACATTCAAGCCTTGAGTGAAAACTGTATCACCTGTTTAAAAAGAAAAAAATTTTTCTTCATGCTCTACTTCCCTCTCCACTGGTTCGGAGAGATTAAAAATCTCCTTCACAAGGGTCAAGGTTATATTCACAGTTAAAATGTAGGGAAAAAACTGAGATAATAATTAACTAGTAACCATTCAAATTCACCTACTTCCAGCTATATATAAACAGGAACAAATTGTTTTATTACTGCAGAAAAAATATGCTATTCTCATTCAACCCTAGAAAAACAAAGAAATGCGCACTGTTGATAGAAGTAAAATTTGTCTTTTAAAATACTGGAGGCAAAATGCAGTATTAGTTTTTTCCCAAGTACACTATATAGTAATTTACTTAAATAGTACAGGTGTAAACATAACTGATGGAATAACAATTGAAATACCTGAAACCATAAAATGTTTTAGAGAAACAGCACGTGGAAACCAAAGCCACCTGGGAAATAATTCAACACTTTTTCCTGAGATTAAAACAGCTTTTGTGAAATGAAAAAAACCAGAATCCAGGCTCAAGTCCAAAGAGCTAAACGGAAAACCCATCTTTTCACATGCCATGTTCTGTGGTATATTTATGATTACAACTGTATGAAATTTCATTTAATGGTTGCCTTAAATCCATCTGAAAAATAAAAGGCAGTGTTGACTACCACTGGAAAATTGCAAATAAAATGTTTAATTTCAGAAACTGAGTTCACCATTTATAAATACACTAAAACATAGTAAATGCAAAATTAGATTAGGCATAGGTACAGTATTTTAACAAAGCTACAACTTTTCTAAAAGGTCATAGGCAAATGATGACTTGTTTCCCAAAAAGTATTCAATGAAAACTGAAATGAAAAGATGAATCTTTCTAGAGTTAAACCATGGAGAATGTTCCTTTCAAATTAAAATGCTGGCTATTTTTTTTCATCTTATTTGAAATTTTAAGGGCTCTATATCCCATTTGCCTGATGGACACCAACAGTTAAGAATCAACCCTACTACATAAAGTTCTAAGCAGTGCACCATTTCCATAAGGCTATTACTGAAGACCAGAAGACCAGTTATTTCTGTACTAGGAGCTTTAAGAAAGGGCTGTTCTACACAATTGAAATTACCTTAGGAGTAAGGGCTCAGTTTTTACAAAAGGGACCTTATAGTTTCGATGCACTAAAGATTAGGAAAGTCTTCAGAATGACATTAGAGTCGTCATGGTAAGTTTCTCGCCTTTTTGTACATGGCATTAAATAACAAGCATTAATTCACAAACTTTGATAAGACTTCCAAAGAGCTTTTATAAATACCCAGAATATTTCTGTAGTTCAGTTCAAAATGTAAAACCTGAACAGGAGAACCCAGAATGGGGAGTTTTATTACCGATTGCTGTATAACTGACATTCCATATCATCTTAAATTTAAGATTTATTTTCAGATATTAAGTCAACAGTCTCCTGTAAACACATCTTTCTCAATAACTCTTCTTAATCCTGTAAGTACTTTAGGGCTTGCAGTTAAAAACACTGCATGATAAAAAGACAGCTTGAACCCCATCTTTCATGTACAGCTTTCTCTTGACAACTACAAAACCTGTTTTCTTGCAATTAAAGCAATGTTCAACTAAAATACAGTACCTGGTTTATAGTTTTTACATAATAATTGAATAAAAAACTACAGAATAGAACTGTTTACATCTTTTTTTTTTTTTTTTTCTTTTTTTTCCCCTCCATTCTATTAAAACAAATGACTGAGCTTTTTTAAAGTTCATTTACAATTATGGATTAAAACCTACATAATTTTGTATAATTTGACGAGACAGGCTATCCCTAGTGTGAACTTTTAAAAAACATATATACAATATCTGGCCTGAAGTACTATGAATAAGGCACATGTAGACATTTTGAAAGCTGAAAAAAATGAACCTAAAATTTGGAATTATAGTCACTGATTAGATGTCATACATGGCCCCTACTGGAGCAATTTAAAAATCCAAGTTACAGATAGTTAATATCCAGTGAGCAACAATAGATTTAATCTATCAGTTTGTTCATTAGTTTCAATACTGGAAGTATATTAAAGGAAGATTCACTTTCAAAAAGATAAGCTTCTCAAAGTGTTCAGTCATTAACCTTGACTGACTAAAGTTGTTGCTTTCATTGGATGTATTAAACAATCTCTCTGAAGGAACAATGCTTGGTGGGCAACCCAAGAACCTGACCGCCAATTTTGACAGTACTGGCCAAGATGACTTTTTAAAGTTCCAGTAAGTTAGAGGATCACAGTTATGCTCAAGCACTTCTTCCTCCAAGTAAGAAAGCACCATTTCCTCTGGTAACTTTGCTCTCTCTTTCAGGTCTTTTGTTTTCTTCATGTCACCCATGAGTGACCAAAGATTATCTTCCCCATAGGGATTTGTAGATGGTGAACCTATATCACATCCATTGGAAACAGGTTTATCATCATCTGAGGTAGAACTCATTATTTCCAGCTCCCTGATTAAGTCTTGTTTATATTGTTCAGCCTCCTCTTCTGTAAATAAGGATGTTTTATACCGGGGATCCAGAAGCGTAGCAAAAATGTACCTTGGATCATGAAGCGTGGAGGACAATCTACTCACCATAGCTTCTTTCAAAGATTTCAGCATAGTATCTATGCCCATAGTTTCCTCAAACAGCATTTCTATTTTTCTGTTAAGTATATGAATCATTGGAATCACTTGACTTAGAGTAGACATGTGTGTACTCATCTCCCTACTTGCAGCTTCGAAAGGTTTGAGAGCGTGACACACCGACTGCATGACTTCCCACTGATCACAGCTTATTAGCTCCCGAAAGCTGCACTCTATTGACATTTCATCGATGGCTCTTTTCTGTTCAATAAGACGTTCAAGCATATGAAACGATGTATTCCACTTGGATGGAACATCTTGTATTAGCTGATGCTGAGGCAACTCATACTCTTTTTGCAACTCAGCTAACTTCTCTTTTGCTTTTGCTGACCGATGGACACGTTCACAGATCTTTCTTGCAATACTAAGCAA